CATGTTGAACCTTAACTATAGATGCCAGAATGAAGCATAAAATCTTAAATGTGTTTCTGAGTTGAACTTCGGCTAAACACAATATTGTTTGGCAAAGAATATAAATTCATTATTGAATTTTATAATTAATATAAACTTTCTTAATAATTTTAATTATATTTATAAATTTATTAATCTAGCAATCTTTTTACCTTTATCTTTTAAAATTAAATGTTTTATGTTTATAGGTACTGGCCTTAGAAGATCCTGAACAGGTCCTCTCGACAGAAACAATCAAATACTCAATTTCTTTGTAGTTTTAGGAACAATTACTGGTTTAGGTACATTTATACAGGCGTACATGTTAACATCGCCGGAGAATAAGACTGACTACTAGAATAAGGTAATATTTTACATTATACTAAAGCAAATGCTAAAAAGAATTTTCATGAATCATTTATGTTTCAGATCAATGGCATTTTCAGCCATGTTAAGACAAGAAATGGGATGGTTTGATGACCAAAAAAATAGTGTGGGTGCACTATGTGCAAGATTGGCAGGCGATGCATCCAGTGTCCAAGGGGTATGTAAATTATTGAAAGAATATTTTAATAGACGGAATTTAAATGTATTGTATGTATTTATGTCAAAGTTATTGTAGTTTTTAATCTTAATCTGTTGAATACAAATCATGGCTTTTAATATGGCTCATCAAATTGGTATTATTTTTCTGATATAATGCAAATGTCAATATAAAAGACCAGTACTATATATTTATCTGACATGTTTTTTTTATAAATATGTGTATAAGATATATACATTCTTTGCCATTAAGAAAGTTGTGAAACCAATATGTCGAGCTTATTAGACCCATCTCAAACATCTATATTATAAATTTGTAATTAGGCAACGGGAACAAGAATTGGCTCTCTACTTCAAGCGGTTAGCACATTAGTTACTGGTTGTCTTATATCTATGTACTTCACCTGGAAAATGGCATTGGTGTCCGTGGTATCTGTGCCGTTGGTCCTCGGCGGAGTATTTTGGAGTCACGAATTATTGGTGGCAGCAGCCTACTTGAGAAAAAAGCTTTGGAAGGCGCTACTAAGATAGCTGTAGAAGCGATATCGAATGTCCGGACAGTCGCTAGTTTATGTAAGTCGGTAAAAGAATTAGAAATTTAATTAAATATTTTAGAAATAGGAAGTTATAAACCTTTTGATTTATATTTAAACAAAAATACATCGATATAAGTTATGATGACTTGTGATACCAAAAATTGCAACTCCGTTTCCAAAATGATAAATTTTCAATGAACTTTAAAATTTTACAATATGATGAAGATGATGTTCAGATGAAACTGTGCCTGAGAAATTATATCTTAAACCTTTAATTACGACGACCGTAGAAGAGATTAGTAGAAGAGAAAATTTTCGTACAAACAAATATTTTTTTGATTTCTATGTGAAACGCAAGAAAACGTAAACCTAGCGAATCGAATTTTCTTTTTCCTTGTTTTGGAAGCTATAGCTCCGGAGTTATATAATCTCCAGAATTGGATATTCTTTATTATCTATTTTTTATTCTTAATTTATTTTAATTAGGTCAGGAAAAGGGCGAGGCGTTTTAGAAAGGTACTCAATCGAAATGGACAAAGCAGCTGAACAAAGTAAACGAAGAAATAGATTGCGTGGTTTAGTTTTTGCTTTTGGGCAGGCTGCGCCCTTTTTGGCATATTCTTTATCATTATATTATGGCGGTAGCTTAGTGGCTTACGAAGGCTTGGAATATAAAAGTGTTATCAAGTAAGTATTGCAGCGAACAAACATTGAAAGAGAATGCTATTCAACAACCCAAAATTTAGGAGTGTTTAAAATATAAAAAATAATACATTTTATAATTTCCAAAGGGTATCTGAAGCTCTAATATTGGCGCTTGGATGCTGGGACAATCATTAGCTTTTGCACCTAATATAAATGCTGCAAAAACGTCAGCGAAAAGAATATTTGCTCTATTTGATCGATCCACTAGAATTCAAAGCCCGTCTGGAATTCCTGATACTCAGAAGGTAAAATAATTATACAGATTTGGAAATATAAATGAAAAAATCAAAGTTTAGGAAAGGTAACCGATGTAACCGATTTGTTTGCTATAAATCTAAAAAAACTTTTCGACTTTGATTCCTTAGGTAGTTGATGGACGAGTTGAGTTCTCAGATATCAAATTCCACTATCCCACCAGGCCTGACATTAGTATACTCAAAGGTCTCAACTTGCTCATTCAACCAGGAAAGACAGTTGCTTTGGTTGGTTATTCAGGTTGTGGAAAATCTACCTGCATACAATTATTGCAGCGTCTATATGATCCTATTCAAGGAAATGTGGTACGTAGTAATGAACACAAGTAAATTGAAAAATAACAAGATTTACCTTAAGGTACCTTAAGTGATCAATTGCTTTTCTTCTCTGGTTAGAAAAATGAATAATTAGATGCTAAATACTAAGCACGTCGTATGTTTTTTAAAATCTATTTTTTATCCTTTTTGATCTTTATTTCTCAGACATTGGATCGAGACAACATAAATACAAATTTATCTCTAAGAGATTTGCGTTCGCAACTAGGAATTGTTTCTCAGGAGCCTGTACTATTCGATAGAACAATAGCAGAAAATATTGCTTATGGAGATAATTCTAGAGTAGTTCCAATGGATGAAATAATAGACGCAGCAAAGAAGGCCAACGTTCATGGTTTCGTTTCCAATATGCCTTTGGTAAATAAAAATAACAATATTGATCAATATTAATGAATATAATTTCGTATACATATATGCTACAGTTATAGCAGCAATATTAATGAAGTATTTAAAACGCTTTGAACTTTTTACTGAACCGAGTAATAGTTAAAATTTATTATAAGTCATGGATAAGGAAATAAGTATACTTAAAAAGTTGTATAATTATTCCTAAATTTTCAGGGCTATGAAACAAACTTGGGAACTAAAGGTGCACAGTTATCTGGTGGCCAAAAGCAAAGAATTGCGATAGCTCGCGCTCTGGTTAGAAATCCTAGAATTTTACTTCTTGACGAAGCTACATCTGCTCTGGATGCTAATAGTGAAAAGGTGAGATTTTTAATTGCCAGTTTTATTCATTTTTAATAATTATAGAAACAGTCGTTTTTATAGACAAACATAGATAACACGTCCGGAAGGTATGAAATAAAAATGAATTATAAGAAATGAATTTATTCTTTAGTCTATAACCATACCTAAGCGATAAGGAAACTTTAAGGAATAAAATGAAAAATATTTATAAAATGTATGCAGTCTGTTCAATGCTAAGCTTTTATTTGTAAAATACTCATAGATAAATCGAATTTCGATTTAAATGATTTGTGTATATATGATTTTTTTTTTTTATTTTTATGCCAGATCATTCAAGCAGCACTAGACGAAGCACGATGTGGTAGAACTTGCATTGTAATAGCTCACAGACTTGATACCATTCGTACTGCTGATGTTATTTGCGTCCTGGACAAAGGAAAAGTTGTGGAAACCGGTACACATGAAGAACTTTTGGCGTTAGGAGGAGTATATACACAATTGCATGGTCAACAATCTAGTTTATCATGATCATGATCGATCAATGTATATAAAAAATTTTGGTTGAAACCAAACTTGTTCAAATTCAAAAGCGCGTTTAGCGACACCAAAGAAAAATTACTTGTATTTCGGAAGAATATTTTTTAATAACGAGTGAAAACTTTGATAAATTATTGTAAATATTTAAAATAATTCAAAAGAGCTTAAAGAATAACTCCAACTATAAACATTTGTGACTGCAAGATCTGGAAATTTAAAATTCTATTATAGTATTTATATCGCCTCAAAGAAAGGTTGATTATTAGATGATAAAATCATTATATTATTTCATCTTATATAATAGCAACATATTTAAGTAATTTTATCATTAATATACATATAAACATAAGACATTTGTATATGTATGTATATATTTATATATGCAACAAACCTCAAAACTTTTAACCAGACGGTGCAGAGAAACTTTCGGTAACTTGTTACGATAATTCGTTACACCAATGATTATATTAGTGTTAATAAAGGTGATACATAGGTTTTTGTTTGTTATGCTGTAGCAGCATTATATGTTTCATATATTTATCATACATAATTGCAAATATATTTTAAAATAGCCAGGCAAAAATGTTAGTTCAAACATAGATTAACTCCATGTGAATATTTTACTGTATGGATCATTTGAAGTTGTGTAAAATTCATGTTTAGTATTTATTTATTGTATATAATATTATTAGTGTATAATTTGTTTAATAAATTAGTTAAACTGTGAGCTTTAATAATATTTAAAAGAATGTAATTGGACAAAAATATAAAGTAAATGAGTATTATAACAATAAAGTTTACTTTCAGTATATTATCTGCTGCAGTATGCTGTTACTTTGAAAACTACAAATAAATAATTATAATAATGTACAAATATGCCATTGTGCAAATTATGCATATGTACAGCAGACACTCAATATCCATAGAAAAATAAGCACGTATCAAATAATAATTAATTCCTACCTACAGACTGCATACATATATCACAAAAACTTTACATGCACAATAAATAGATTATTAGTTGTAATTGAAAAAAGACTTAAAGACTTAAAAGAAAGTTGTAACATCTAGATTTATAACACCAAACAGATATAAATATGAAGAGAAACAAAACTTCCTTCGGAGTTAGCCGAAATGTTGGTATCCGCATATGATAAAAATATTAGAAATTTATCTAAAGACTGACTCATGGATATAAATATATTATATTCTAATATTGTCTAAGATTATATAAACAAAAATAAATTGTTTAAAATTGTTTAGGGGGCTGACTGCAACAACGATGAAAACAATCCAAACGAATCGCTGTTGGTGATGCTGTAAATATTTGACAGCTAAAGCAATAACTTCACACTACTTCTTATCAGTGTTGTTGAGAAACGTCAATTATTTATTTTAGTGCTTTCCTCTAACCTCAATCTCGCATGTAATTCTGAGTAAATAAAATATTTAAAATGCTGAACAGTAGTATCTCAAGTACATTAAAGAATAAGTTGGTTACTGACGATTTGGAAGATATACATGATGAGGAAAGGGTGAGACAACCTTGCCTATATATTTTTTGCAATTTCATATTCAATCCTTTTTTTTCATTTTAGCAAAAGATTCGAGCGGAATTATCCAACATGAGTTTCTTAGAATTACAGAAGCTCAAGGAAGAAATGGGCTCTAAATTATACAACAAAGCAGTTTTTGGTACAACAAAGAAAATTAAAAAAACTAAGACAGACTTCAAAAGAGAAAATAAAAATCGACCACGTGAAATGTCAGCAAAGAAACAAGTTCCTTTGTTACGAGATTTGCCAAATGTTAAAAAAATTGAACACAGAGATCCTAGATTTGATGAACGAGCCGGAGAATTCAATGAGAAAGCATTCAAAAACAGTTACAGCTTTATTGAGGAAATTCGACAGAAAGAATTAGATCAGCTAAAAAAGGATTATAAGAATACTCATGACCCTGATGAAGCTGAAAAGATGAAATTTTTGATTACGAGAATGGAAAATCAAATCCGTGAAAAAAAGAAAATTGAAGAGAAGAAAGAAAAGGAATTAATGGAGAAAATGGAACGATTGGAACAAATCAAAGAAGGAAAAACTCCTGTTTATAGGAAAAAATGTAAGTCTAATGTTTTATTGTCTTATTCCATTTATTTTTAGAAAATAATTTTAATGATGTATTTGTATTTTTACTATTAGTATTAATTAAAATGAATATTATAATTAAGTTCATATAAGTCAATTTAGATTTCCAGTCTATAGATCTAGATCAATCTAGATTATTTAGTACAAAGTAAGAAACTTTTTGGCACATTATTAAATAATCATTTTTCTATATTATAGCTGAAAAGAGGATATTGGACCTTGTTGATAAATATGAAAAGCTGAAGCAGTCAGGTGGACTGACTAAGAACATCATGAAACGAGAAAAGAAGAAAGCACAGAAGGACCGTAAAGCAGGAAAACATTAATTGAATTGGTTTTATAAATATTTATCTAAACAATGTTAAATTTGTTTACATTTTTGTACATATAATATAACTACTTATTTCTTATTCTGTTTATGATTAGCCAGTTCTCAGCATTTTTGCTTCACGTTTTTCTTGCAGTTCTTTCTTTTGGTTATCTACAATAACTTTTCTTTCATTCATAAATTGTTCATATTCTTCAACTTTTAAATCTCGAACTACTTCTATTCCACAGGATCTGGCTATTCCAACTAACATGGTGCATATTTCTTGAAGTGATTTTAGAGCTAAAGGCGGATCCGTACTTTTAATAACTGCTATTTCATAAATATGTTTCAGAGTAACTTTTCCAGCGACTTCCTTTCCTAAAATTGATAACACAATTATTTTACATAATTTACATTAGCTGTTATCTCAAGAATAATTTAAATGGTCTAATGCCCTAAAACAAACAAACAAAACGAATACTATGACCAGTTTTGATTATAACTTAAATTTAAAATATTTAATTTTTGTAATTTTCAATTGTATTAACAACTACCTGGATACATTGCGGCTCTTTGAAGACCAGCAGCTTGTTTCAGAAAAAATACAGCTGGTGGTTTATGAATAACTAAATCGTAGCTTCTATCAGATTTAACAGCAACACGACAAGGTAAAGGGATTCCTTCTTTCATATCTTTTGTTCTTTCATTAAAATCTTTACAAAACGTAGCTATGTTGATACCGCGCTAAAACAATGGGTATTAAAGAGAATTAATTCAAAAAACATACTGCAACAAAAATAATGTTTCTTTTAGTTAAAAATAACGAAAATTAAGTACAAGATTATGCTAATGATGTATTGATCAAACTTCTATTGATGTAGTATATATTTTTTTCGTCTTTATCTATGATTTTTTTACCAAATCTATCAGTGATTATTAAAATAGCTTCAAGTAATCATTGCTGCGTTAAATAATTATCTCCTCAACTGTACTTTATTATTTATAGATTGCACATGTGAGTAGTAAATACACCAGTAGAGAAAGAGAATATAATATCTTACTAATAACTAAATAGATTGATTCACCTGTCCAAGCATGGGGCCTAAAGGAGGCCCTGCGGCGGCCATCCCTGCTGGAATGTCTGTACGTAATTTTGAGGTATGTTGAACTTTTTCAATAGTCTTTTTTAGTGTATTTATTTTCGCACCGACTTTCGACATATTGCTAGTTTTATCGGTTAGAGTCTAGTTGTTATATGTTATCATTAAAAAAACCTTAAATAAATCATCATAATTTTACATAACCTAATTCATCACAATAATTGACTAATTACCGTGCTTGAAAATATAGTTACCGTGAAAATATAATTGAATAAAAAAAATTGTAACTGCAATGTATTATTATAAAAATAATAGTATTATTATTTAAATATGTTCATAGCTATGTTTTTTAGTAATAAAATGTATTATAAATCTTTGGAGTTTTTGGCAGGCTAATCTAGTAGCGGTATCTGTGGGTGAACTTCATTAATTAACTTCCCGAAGGAGAAGTTTGTTTTCATCGAAAATTCCGATTCGCTAAATTTATGTTTTCTCGACGTTTCAAGCCATTCTGAATCGAATGAGACCAAATTTGGAAAAAGTATGTGTGTGTGTGTATGTGACGTTTTTAAATCTTGAAATTTAGTGTAGCTTTAAAAAAAATCCACTATTATTAAAATTAATTTCTCTGTGATACATTGGTGAAAAAATTAAATTCAATTTGTTATTCTCATTGAAATTTCAAAGAAATTGAATCCATTTTCATACTCATTTTTCTTTAAAATTAATTTTAATATTGATATTTCTTTTGCTAGTTCCATCTACCGGCGAAGTGTCAAAATCCGTCATGTGCTTGCCAATAACTCAAAATTGATTCCTTGCTTCAGCAATTTTAAGTTTTAAAAAAAATAAATCATTAATCTCACTTTGAAAACAATTCTTGAATGTAAGTGTATTTTATTATTACGAGATACTGCAACTTTTTTTCTTTAGTCTCGGAAGCACTTGTTCTCGATTTGTTAAGTGGAGGTAAATTTTAATATTGTTTAATTCAAAATGATAATTTAAAGTTTTTAATTTTAATTAATGTTGCTTATCTAATTTAACAAAAGTGTATTGAATTTCATCAAGCTATAACTTTATTGTGTACATATTTGACAAATATTCTTCATGGCTTGAATATTATGCTATGAAAGTGTTATCTTAAAGCTGAATTCTTTCATACTTGCTTCTGAATACCTATTTGTAGATGTAGATTTAACTTGATCTGGTTTATTTTTCAGATTTACTGACATGAAGAAAGCAGTTTATTATTATGCATGTCATTTATACCTAACAAACCAAAGATGGTTTTAAGTACTGAATGGTCTCAAATTGAAGTCATAACGATAAACAATGATGGAAATGGATGGGGTTTTATGTTAGTTGGTGGAAAAAGTACAGGCGTTGTTATAAAAACAGTAATTCCAGGAAGTGCAGTTGAACGAGACGGTAGACTTCAGCCAGGAGACCATGTTTTACAAATTGGTGATGTAAACTTGCGTGGGTTTAGTTCAGAACAAGTTGCTACAGTTTTAAGACAAGCAGGACCTCAAATAAAATTATTAGTAGCACGTCCGGCAGAAGCTACAACTACTGAGCTAGAACCTCATGCACCCATTGTGCCTACTAAGATTTTATCCAATACTGAAGAGCTTGACAAGCAGTTAAGTGAAACTCAATTCCTTGGGCAAACTTTGAGTAATCTATTGTCAAATGAGGTGTTCACAACAAGTACAGAAATAATTCCTGAAACCATTCTTCCAATAGCTGTAATAGAAAATACTGTAGTTGATGAGTCTCCCATTTCTTATACTCTCCCAGAAACAGAATCATTTACTGTTTCATTAATAAAAAATTCCTTTGGTTTGGGTATTACAGTTGCAGGCTATGTATGTGTTGAAGAAGGTTTATCTGGAATTTTTGTAAGGAGTATCATTGATGGGAGTGCTGCTAAAGCAAGCCAGAAAATAGAAATTAATGATAGAATAATAGAAGTTGACAATCAGTCAATTATAGGTTTAACAAATAAAGATGCAGTAAATATACTTCGCAATACTGGTGAAACTGTTAGTTTGAAGTTTGAACGATTTTTGCGAGGTCCTTGTTATGAATTTCTACAAAATGCTTTTACATCATGTGACGAGCTTTATCAATCAAATTGTGGGTCTGAACATGTGTCTGTCCCTATAATCATTAACCAACAAGATTATTGTGATTCAGATGCAACATCTGAGTCTTCTATTGATTCTGTGATTGTAGAAGGTGAAAATAATGAATGTGGGAAAGATACTCTCGATGTAATTAAACAAGAATGGGTGCAAAAAATTGGTAATGAAAATACAATAGTGGTAGATAAAGTTCACAAATTATCTGAATTGGGTATAAGTTTGGAAGGAACTGTAGATGTTGAAAACGGTTTGGAATTGAGACCTCACCATTACATAAGGTCTATTCTCCCAGATGGTCCAGTAGGTCAAAGTGGTTTACTTAAACCAGGCGATGAACTGCTTCAAGTAAATGATCAAAATTTACAAAATTTGAATCATACTGAAGTCGTTCAATTGTTGAGAAAATTACCTGAAAAAGTGCATCTGGTCTGTGCAAGAGGTACTTCACCAAATATTATCAACACTTCGCAAAATCAAGAAGCGTTTGCTACACGAAGTATTTTGACTGGAAATTTACAAAATATATTTCAACCTGTTCAGAAAGAGAAGTCTATTAGTGAAAAACGTAAAAACTTTAAAGAACATAGAAACGAATTTGCAATGTGGAATAGTGATTCTCAGTTTATCGATCTTCTGAAAACTGAAGATGGTTTAGGTTTTAGCATTTTAGATTATCAAGATCCTTTAGATGCAAGTGATTCTGTTATAGTAATTAGAGGTTTAATACCAGGTGGCTCTGCAGATCTATCAAAATTAATTTTTCCAGGTGATAAATTGATATCTGTTGATGATGTTCAGCTTAAAGGAAAGAATTTAAATGAAGTGGTAAGTTTGTTGAAAAGTTTACAAATTGGTTTGGTTAAACTAGAAATCAGTAAGCCATTGGGTGCTATTGCACAAGATAGCTGAAGTAATAAAATTATACAATAATTTTTAATTTTTTGAAGCGTAGTAATCCGAATTATAAAAACTTTCCGCTTTGATGCGCTAAATTTATTCATGATAATATAATGTTTTGATCGGAACGGTCTATCTGATATAAGTTTGGTTTGCTTACATTTATCTTTTGCTTCAAATAGTGAATATAATTTAATAGTAAGCATAATTTCAAGCATCTAAAAATGATAGAGAATTAGTAAGGGAAGTAAATCACAAAAATATAGAATTTAGTTTTATATCTAGTCATAATAAGAATACTAGTCAATAATTTCCATATACCCAAAGGCTAATTATTCTAAAATTCTAAACACCACTTATAGCAAACTACTTAAATTGGAATACATTTTAAAATCTACAAGTCTAATATAAGAAATCGTCAAATATTTAAATATTTGGGAATAATGATTGTCTTCTCTTCATATAAAAACTCAATTTAATATCATCAAAGACTTCGTAATTTTATAATTAGTAACCTAATGATATTTTAATGCAGTTTAGATTACTAGTTATTCCAAAAATGTACATTTTAAGTACTATTTATTGGAATATCGAATTAGACAAAATATATTTGAAAGATTGAGTTTTAAACTTATGTTTGGGTATTTATAATTGCAATTTTTTTTTTATTGGTACTATAAAATATTTTTTCTTTTTGACAAAACATTATGAATGATAACTATTCCAGACATTATTGTCTTTGAATAGATGTATCAAGTGTTATTGGTTCGGTACATTTGTACACATCATATCATATATCATATATGCATATATGCTATTACCATAATTTGATAATAAATATTATGGGAGATGATTAAATTATGGTGCACCTAATATAAATTTATAATTTTGAATTATATTAATATTTTACTGCTGCTAGAAATTCCAAAAAAGATTTTTACTACAAATTTCTCTGATTAAGATTTTTTTAAGTGATTATTAAAATTATATCACTTTAGATTTGTTAGATATATAAATATTTTAGTACAAGCTTGCAGAAACATTACATAGCTTTAGATTGAAACTATATATAAAACATGATTAACTTAGCAACTGCTTTATATGCAACTTATTCTAAAATGTAGTTTGCCGATAATATTCTACATAAGAGTATTCTACATAACATCAGATTAAAACAAATTAGATCAAAGTTCGTCAAAAATTAATTAGAAATTTAACTCATCTGTAATATTTCTAAATATAAGTCGATTACGTATTTAGTTTACAGATAGAAAATAGATGACTAGATGACGAGATCTATTCTAACTGTGAAGGCTTTCCATATATCACTTTTTTTCATGCATATAACAATTTTAGAATAGAATAATTGGGAACAAAGACTTCAGAAGCACCTTTAGTAATTTGTCTCTTAAAAGTCAGACGACGTTCGATGTCCATGAAGCAATCGCTCATTTGCTTTTCTTCTTTGGCTCAAGTGGTTTTCATAAAATCTTGATACTGGTTTTAAGCAATTGCAGGATCTAACTTGATACTATTTGTTCGAACCCATTTTCCGCGACATCATTCAACAACATAAGGTATAACATTTTCTACAGTACATGAATAGTTTAATTTCTTTCCCGTTCCTTTTTTTAAATAACCATCTTCAAAGTCAAACGTTCCTTAATATACCGGAATATGGAATATTTACCATAATTTGGAGAAAAAGATCTGTTATGCTTTATGGGTGTACATCGGGGAAACTTTTTTTAATCATTACTTCAAAATATTTTTGTCCAAGTTGATATTACCCTCATACGGACAAATACGTAGCAAATACAGTAAATATCAAATAATTAAAAATATATACATATATACTTTTTGACCAAAAAACTTTCATTTTTATCCTATTTTGGGTAATTTACCTCGGTTCCCCGACCACTGCCTATTTCATTTGACAGAATTTGTAAGTAATTTTGGGTGGGATTCCAATTGGAATGCATTTGTTATGTGAGTACTTGTTAGATCTGCAAATAAAGAGTTTTTAAGAGAATATGAGGATTGGGGGTTGCATTTAATAAGCGAAGTAAAAAATCTAATGATCTAAGTTCGAAATACGATCGTTCTACTGTATGTTATTATAAGAGGGTCGCAAATAAGAAAAAAAAAGAGTGCGCGTAAGGATCACACGCGATTGAAGTAAAACTTTTAATATTGTATGAGTAGACAATTAAGATAAAAATAAAAAAAAACATCATATTTGAATTTTAAAAATCATCTTTTAATAATCATATAACATCAATAATAATAAGATCTCCTGAGCATCGGCACAGCTGTCCTACTGATATTAAGAGTTTGAATATGATGTGAAGCTTTCTTCCTAATTTTGTTACCTATCTTACCGGGAAATTCAAACCATAAACGTAGAAGTTCATCATTATCGCCACGTTCTAAGTACACTAATTTTCCCACACAACCATTAGCTAAGCCATCACTTACATCAATATTAGTTGTTATTATGTAAAATTTATTCAGAACTAAAATTATTTCATACGGCAAAGCCCCGGTATCAATAACCGATTTTTGTGAAACTGCTGACGAATGTATGATTGTTGATCTGTCGCATGGCAACCTACATAAATATCCGTGGCAGTAGATATTATTTTGTCTTCAACGAGATTCAATATAAATTTATTATATTCCATGGCACATTTATTCTCTAAGAAAAGTCTTATTCCATGAGGACATAATACAGCAACCTCTTCTTTTGTAAAAAAAACGTGATTCAATTAATGCAAGTTCATATAGGGTTTAGCGCTCGACTTACGCATGACATGACGGGAGTGGATACTCGCGACATCAGCGCTTACGGCGTCGTAGTGTTCAACTACACGTTGGCATTTTCGTTGCATTTGTACGGATTTACACCCGTGTTGCGCCTAAAAATTTTTACACCCATATCGCGCCTGAAGAAGTTTTACTTCAATAGTTGGAATAGTGTACTGAAATATTAGCTTTGCAGAATTGTGGAATTGATATGGAAAGTGTACATTTCAATTAATTGGCAATTTGTAAAAACATCAATAGTGCAGTCATAGGAGAGGAAAAAATGATTTAACCTTCGAAATCTTTTACTACTATTCGATTTGCGTAAAATTTTGGATTTAGACTCATCTCACCCTCAACTGAAGAGTGAAAACAATTACTAGCTAGTACTTTGACATTTGACATTTTTACCCAACAGCTGTTTCATATCCGCTATTTTGTATGTTAAATTTACGAAACCATGTAACGTAACTGTTATGTAATAGGCCAAAACGATGCATTTACGTTTAAAGGTTACAACTATACGTAACATTTACGTTTAATAACCGTAAAATACTTAACGACGTTTTTTTTGTCACGTTATTTTAACTTAATTAAACGTTTGTTGTTTACTGGGAGAAAAAGGGTAAGATGAGTCTGATTCCAAAATTTCATGAATATCGGGTATGAGTAAAAAAATCTATAGTCATGTAAATAAAGACATATCCATACGTTTCCATATAATTAATTTTGTAGAATTTCTTAGAAATTAGACCTTACTTTAGTAAATCTTGTATAGTATAATTATAGAATTATGCTTCATACAATCTAGTCATATCGTATTTAATTAAATATAAACGGACCATTAGCAACATAGAAGTCGGTAGGGACCAAACTGTTTATTATAAACGAAAATTCATTTTTAAATTGAAGAATAAATTCAGTTTTTGTTCTTTTAGTGAAGTACAAATTATATATTTATTTGAAATGAATATTTCTGTGATATTTAAAAATAATCTCTTATTTTATATATTAACGCCTATAGTTTTTCATAACTTTTACAATTTCAACGGTTTTTTAATTAGATTTGATAAATAAATCTTAGTTTTATTTCATACAATTTGTAAAGATTTATTATCCCGCTATATCTTTGATTCTTCATAATTCGCTCTTTAGTATTAGGTTTCACATTAATAAATTTTATACCAATTCCAAATTAGATCTAAAATAATATATTACATAATTTAGTATGCGTATTAAATAGTTTAAATAAATAGCATCATTGTCAACATTACAATAATTGTTAAAATCCTTTCATTAAAATTTGCATGAAGTTTTAAAAGTATATTAGAACAGGTTTCATATATTTATTACTTCATGATTTAGTAGAAATCAATAAAACAAACGTCTTTGGGGGAGACATAAAAATTGTATCGAATAATAGTTTTAATATATAATTATATATTGTAAACATACACATGATATCATTTCACTATATCGTAGTACACAGATTTAGTGGGCTTTTACATATCCTTTTAACAATTACCACGCACATTAGAAATTTTAAAATTAACAATTAATTAGTATGGTCAATAATAGCGATCACAGTTTTAGGACAATGATTTCATATAATATTTATGTTTTGTGATTAAATAACATGTATGTTTGTGGCGACTTTAATTTATACAAATATATACAATTAAATTGTTTCTGAACTCAGCCTGTTTCAGAAATTTCCTAATATGTTAAATGTAACAAATATAATATTTATATTATATCGCCTTCAATAAATTGCATCGCCTTCACAATGAATAATAAGCATGTATGAAATTTTTATAATGAATATACCTGGGTTTTCCTTATATGAATTGTTTTATTTTTGTATAAATCTCTAGATATGTGAAAACAGGGCAGAAATATTTTAAGGAGCCCCCAGGACAACTAAGGAGGCTGTACAAGTGTACGCGTTCACCAAAATAAATTCACATTTTTGGACGAAGTGGCCACCACAATTGACTTCCAAAAGGTATGTTATTAAAAATCACAGAAAATAAAAACGATTTTTTTTTTGCAACGTTTGGGAGAGCGTTCCATTTTCATTGAATGGGTTTTAGGAAAAGCAATTCAACTTTTTAGAGATGAGGAGGAAGTGACTAGAAACGGCCGTTTTGGGTTCAAAAATTAAATTGTTAAATTTTATAGAGACAGAATTTAATAATATGCGTATTCATTTTTACTATTTTTCAACTTCCCGTAGAGTACGGCGACGCTTACGCGCTTCGATATTTCGTCTCTATGCAGTTGAGCAGTACGATTGCTTTGGAAAAAATTTCAGAACTTCAAAAATATTTCAAAATAGAGAAAACATATTTTTCAATTTTTTTTTAAATTAAATTTTCTCAGAAATCTAATTTTTTTAAAGTATTTTAAAAAAAAAAATGTTAATCTTCTTAAAAAAAATAATTTTTGGTACGTTACTAGTTAATTTGAGTGTTAAATAAATTGAACTTCTTAGAAAATTTACTCGGCGGAGAATAATGGTGCTACTGTGGATATCACGAAAACTGGTTTACTTATATTGCGTTTTTACCTAATTTATAGTAGTGAATTTTTCTTAATAATTTGATTGGCACAAAAACTTAAAAATACCAAGAAAGGAATTTTTAACAACTTAACTTCCGAATTTTATGCAGTGACATTGTAAATTAACTATGTATTTTATTTAACCCATGGTTTCTAAGATCAGTGGTTTACTAAGTTTTTTTGAGAATTGAAAATGTCTAAATAATATGCAAAGTATTAGATTGGAAACAAAGTGCGGTATTCAGCTTAGATGGTTTTAATTAACTTCCCTTCGAAATCAAATTTTTTTTAAGTTTCTTCACGTTTTGAAGGTTTCTGAACATTTTTTCGTCCACGTTTTAATAAGTTTCTAATAAAAATAAGTTAAAAAATAAGTAAAAAATGTCATTTGGCGGTCAAAAATGTTTATTGGACATATGTACATTAAATTATCAGATATTTTATAGAGATTTTAATATTGTGTACACATTTTGTGTAAATTTTTTTGGGTTTCGTACCAAGATTTTTAATTTTGAAGTTTTTTATATGGTTTAAACAAATGTCCTCGACATATTCGACAGTATGGAATAACCGATTTGTATGATTAAAAAATCGTTCGATTCGTACTCGATCGCGAGGCGTTTTTGCAAAAGGCAATTTTGCCGTTTCGGAGGTATGGAGCGTAAAGGGGGTTATGCAGTTTTTGAGAGAACGGATTATCCGATTAGATTAATTCAAAAAAACATTTTGCTTGAGTAGATTGGTGTGCAAAAAATGCATTTATAGAAACTTTAGTGATTTTGAAAATTAAATAAAAAATCAAAGTTTCAAAAAATTCAAATTTTCGGAATTTTTCATCCTTTTCAAAAAAAACTAAATTTTGAAAAATTAAAAAAAAAAATGATTTTTTACAAAAATTTGAGAATTTTTCGAAAATAAAAAAAAATCGAATATTCTGAATTTATTCTGAAAAAATTTCAAAATTTAAAAAAAATGGACTCTTGTATACGTACACATAAGTTGTTTATAAAATACGTTCATCATAGATAGTTGGCAATTTAGATGTCCACCGGTAAAAAGACTCCAGTTTTCTGAGCCATTGCATTCTTTTCGTTTAGAGTTCGTTGAATGATGGAAAATCAAATCGAAAATTTTTGGTATATGCTTCTTTCTGTCTGCAAATGTAGAGGCATCTTAAGTTTAAGAAAAGTTATGACCTGTTTATATGTCAAAATTGGTTTGCCAAATTTCGTTCTAATAGTGATTTTTCACTCATTTAGCGATCTGGTCGTCCAGTTGAAGTTGTTTACAAAAGAATTGTATACTTTTATTTTTACTACCCAACCGAACGATAATTCTGATCTGTCTACGTTGAACAACTAACAAAATTGAACAAAACAGTTAAAGAAATTGGCCTAAATTGACAAATCAAAGAGGTGATCAATTCCATTATTGATATCACATATTTTTGACCACTCGGCAAAAAATATTGGAGCTTGGTTGGGATGATTTGCCACATCCACCATATAACCTTGAACTTTTACCTTCTGATTACTTCTTGCTTCGAACTTCATTAAATTTTCGCACTGAAGAAATATTTGCCAAATGATGAGATGATGGCCGAATTTTGTGGCTATGTACAAATCCTACTACAAAAATGGTTTCGAAAAGTTCGAAGTTTACTATAATCGGTATATCGCCCTCGAAGGAAACTATATTGAATTGAACTATAAAGAATTTTGCTAAAAAAATTGGTTTTTCTTAGTTATTCTACGGACTTATTGAGTGAAGTGATAATTAATTCACTTTGCTCCGCAGATATTATCAAATCACGCAACAGACAAAACCGCGCAATAACAAGTTAAATAATTTTAATATCTAACATTTGTCTTTAATCGTTACTTATAATAAAATTTAATTAGATATGAGTCTAAATCACATTTTGATATATCATTAATTAAACTAATTTCGTTAAAGCTGTGAGAAATGCCATCAACCACTCGACCTCGCATGGCAATGTTGTAATCATTGCCAAATTACTATTGGCTTTGAGAATTGTTTACAATTCCTATGGATTTTACAAAGTAAAATCGTATTTGTCTGATATAATGGGTGCGATGAATAACAGAAACAGAAAATAATAAATCTTGATTAAGTTGCGAGCTATTTTTATTATTATTTTGTGGAACATGTAAATAATAGAGTTAATTCTGATCGTACGCGATAAATTCAATTCGAAATAACTATATTAAGGCATTACGTCTTCAGAATATATATTTTATTAGAATATTTAAAAAAGTTAAATGAAAAAAACGTTAAGTTTGAACAATTATTCGGACAATCTTTAGAAAAGTTTAGAATTATTTAAATGATTTTTTTTGCAACTTCTGAAAAATTTGAAAATTTTATGTTTTTGCAGTCAATTGTAAGGCGTCATTTATTTCAGAAATTTAGAAATTTTGCTTTAAAATTGTGGTTTCTATATATTTGGTCTTTAATACTATTAATTAATAATAATTATTCAATATCAAGAATACTAGTAAGATATTTTTGTTTCTTTTCTAAATTGAGCAGCTTGTAATTGAAAGAAAAGGAAATTATATAATAAATAACTTCCCATAGATTAATCGCAAAAAAATATTTTTAACTTCCCGTAGGGTAAGTTATTGTAATGGGCCGAAAGTCGGAATTGAAAATTTTTACATTTCTCGACGTTTTGAAGGTTTCTGAACGTTTTGGCATACCTCAGAAAAAATGGATGTGTGTGTGTGTGTGTGTGTGTGTGTGTGTGTGAGTATGTATGTATGGATACAAATTTTCGTCCACGTTTTCGGGCGTACGGATCAACCGATTTGAATGGTTTAAAAAACATTCGATTCCTATTAATAAGGAGAAGAGCTGATTAGTTTTTGGCAAAGACAGGTCCAGCAGTTACGGAGATAAGGAGCAAAGAGTGCAGAAAATAGAAATCGAGTTTTTGAGAGAACGGAGCATCCGATTTGAATGATCTAAAAAACATTCCATTAGTAATGATTGGGAGAAAGGGTTATTAGTTTTTCGCAAAGGCAGGCCCAGCCATTTCGGAGATACAGAGCTAAATGTACAAAAAATGGCAGTTTTTGAGAGAACTAAGCGTCCGATTCAATTGATTCGAAGAACTTTCTGCTTGTCTTAACAAAATAATTGATTTTGGAAAAAAAAATTTTGTACAATTTTTTTTTTTTTTTTTTTTTTATTTTTTGTATATCGAAAATAATTCAGATTTTATTTTTAATTCTGACTATAGTTCTAATATACTTTAAACAAATAATTTCAACTCTGCAATTCAGTTTATATAATTATTATAAATATTAGACAATAATACAATATTTATAATAATCTATTTGAAAACATTCAATATTCCTCGAACGTTTCGTTACGGTACGGGAAGTTCCAGCAATTTGCCTTAAGGCACGATGCCACCCACCCCACTAGTTAACTTTTCAATCATTGATCATTTTGGCATAGAACAAAAAATAGATGTCTGGTCTTGTTTATTTGTTATTTATGTACTTTTGGAGATTTGAGTTGGAATGATTTTTAACTTCCCGTAGGGTCAGTTATAGTAATCGCAAAAAAATCGAAAACGAAAATTTTTATATATCTTTACGTTTCAAAGGTTGCTGAACATTTTGGCATACCTTAGGAAAAATAGATGTATGTATACGTGTGTGCGAGTGTGTGTGTGTGGATACAAATTTTTCTCGACGATTTCGGGAACACCGATCAACCGATTTGAATAATTAAAAAAACATTCGATTGTTATTGATAAGGAGACGTGCTGATTAATTTTTGGCGAAGGCAGGTTTAACCGTTCCGAAGATACGGGGCAAGTACCAAAAACGATAACTCAGTTTTTAAGAGAACGGAGCGTCCGATTTTAATAATTCAAAAAACATTTTACTTGTATCGACAAGATGAAGTACTGATTAAATTTTTGTGTCACATTTTTAAAATTTCCTAAAACTCTATGTTCATTGGTTACATAGATTTTTAACATACATCTGTAAGTTTTCACAGCTTGCTTAAGGGGGTATTCTACTGTAGAATTTTGAAAAAATCGAAAAAATTTTTTTTTTATATTTTCAAAGTTTAGTTATTCAAAAATATGTCATTAAAAGGATTTTTCAAAATTACTATTATTTCCTGAGTTATATCCGTTTTAGTGAAGTGGCCTCGGTTCGGGTCCGACCGAGTCTCAAAACTTTGAACGCGTTTTTCTCGGAACTACTTTTTTCGAGCTGGCGGTAAGGATATCTCGAGTTCTAATGAACCGATTTACTTCAAATTTGGAGAGGATCTTCTCTATACATCGCTTTATCGCATGGACCTTTCCCATAACTCTAACTTTTCATTTAGTATTTTTTTAAAATTCGAAACTGTTAAAAAAATCATGAAAAAACAATTTTTTTTTTCAAACTGCCGCCATTCAAACAAAATATTTTTTTTTAACTTATCCAAGGTTCATACGATAGCGGCATCTATAATAATTAAGAATCCATCTATTTTTTATGTTTCGGATCACCAGGAGGGTTGGAATCATGCACGCCAGGACACCCTCTTTTTTTTTTGATCCCCCACTTTGACTGCTCATAACTTTGTGAATTCTAATTTTTTTTCTTTAATAATTTTTTTATGTAATAATAAAATATCAATAAACAAATGATTAAAAAAAATCGATAGTAAAAATATTATTTGTTTCCTTTATACAGCGCTTCAAAAACCGGGCAAAATTCATGCTTCTACAGTAGAATACCCCCTTCAGGCAAAATGCCACTTACATTTAGTTCGCTTTTAGAATGTAGATTATTACATTTTAATCAATTTTAGGTTGTTTTCTAATCCAAATAAAATTTTCTTCTGTGCAACGTACCTAAATAACAATTATTTTAGTATTAATTTTTTTTTTTATGAAATGTAGAGTTCAGAACCAAACATGCATAATTTTAAATTGTTGCAAAGCAATTAAACATTTTGATCATTAATATGTGTTAATTATAATTCCATAATTATTAACTAAAATTTGAAAAAAAAATTTTTTTTCAAAAAAAAAAATTTATTTAGTTAATAAAAACAACCGGAAGTTTCAGCAATTTGCCTTAAGGAAACACCATGAAAACAATTTTTTTATTTCATCAGCACAATTTTAATTATAGGTTCAAGAATTTTGGTTTACATTGGGACCAAGTTAAGTAACCGAACTGGGGCGAGACTTCCCGAACGATGGTCTAAATTTAAACCCAAAACATAAGGAGCAATATGACGGCGTTCGTGTTTCGTTAATGTTTTCACCAAATGTCGTAGAGAGTGTTTCATCTAAATTAAAAGAATAGTGATTAGTTTGATAATTAGTGATTTGTTTTGAAAATACCAGTGGAATATTGTGGATAATCAAAATATAAAGGTGAGTCGATATATTCAAATTTAACCTGCATTTTATATATGTTTATAGTTATATTATTGCTCTAATGTGTTATGTGATAGAATTTTGACAGAATGAAGTCCTTCCTTAAGTATCGTGATATATTAAAGCGTGATTTGAAACTCATTTTAAATTTGTTTCACAACATATGAAACCATAAGAGGAATTTTGTAAGTTTGTAAGTTTTTTTCTAAATTATTTTTATTATTTCTTTGAGTTTTCTATTAACACGTTCGCAGACAGTTTCAACAAGGTAAAAAATTGATAGTCATTTTATATTTAAATTGGTTGAGATATTCGAAATTTGACTAAAACACCATTTTTAAGGGTAGTAAGATTATCAAATTTTAATTGTTATATACCATGAATTCTATAGCATCCACGTCAAGTATTAGGCTTCTATTTTGCGCAAGCTAATTAGTGGCTACGGGGGGAGAATTAAGATAATATGCAAATATGTAAGGAATCGGTTAGGCATGGTACAGTAATTACAAAATCGTAAGGCTTTATAAAATTAAATTCAAAATAATTAACTTTTAAGTTTGAATGCAGTAGCATTTATATCATTCTACATCACAACGAAAATGAATGCTATAGCATTCATATTCGCGAACGAGTTAAACCGAACTTTTCTAAAATGGCTAAGATACAAGCTTAGCTCTCTTAATATTTTTCTGCCATTGTTAATTATAGTAAGATATTTAGTATGTTTTTTCGAATATTGCTACTTTTCTCACTACAATTTAATCTTTTCTTTCTATATAAAGACATTTTATCAACTATAAAGTACAAATTTAGTTTTTTAACACTAAAAATCTATACAGACCAAACAAGGTCAAAATGAAAAAAATAGAAAATGGCAGCGATTATAAAACTAAATAGACATTTTACGATTATCTTATTCTAACTAAAAATATTCACAAAATCCATTCATTTTATTTTAAAAAGTAGTATACTTATACTTCACATTTTTAACTTCCCGAAGTTAAAAATGTGAAGTTTAAGTTTGCTTAGATGTTTATGTTTTCATCAAAAAATTCCATTCGCTGATTTCATGTTTTCTCGACGTTTCAAGTCATTCTGAATCGAATGAGATCAAATTTGGAAAAAGTATGTGTGTGTGTGTTTGAACAGATTTTTTGCTGTAAATCGACGTTTTCTCAAAAGCGGCTGGACCGATTTCAAAAATTTAAAAGCCATTCGATGTAACTCGATGAAGACTAGCGTTTCTCAGTTTTGTGCAGCAATCGGCCGAGCCGTTTCTTTCTAATTTTAAAAAAGTGTTAAACTTTTCGTCAACGTTTAAGCTCATACTACCCAATCGATTTCAAAAAATCATAAACTGTTCCAAAGATATCTGTTGAGAATCATACGGATTAGTTTTAGGTGAAAATCTACCGAGCCGTTTTCTTGTAATTAACTGTTGAAAAAAAATTAAGCCGATTTTTACGGAACTTTTTTTGACGATATATATCATGGTCTTATAGAATTTACTGAAATATTAAGGCCTTACGACAAGTAGTTTAATTTTAAAAGGTTATCAAAATTTTAGAAAATGAGTAGTTTCTTTGATGTTTGTTAAAATTGAAATTAGACGATTTTCTTGGTATAACGATAGAGTACTCGGTCTTAATGAACATACTAAACTATTAAAGTCTTACGAAAACTAGTTCAATTATAAAAATTGAAAATTTGCTTTTAGAAAATACTCCGAGTTAACGTGATCGTTCGTTTTCCATCATGTGTAATAAATTCACTAGGAATACTTTTAATCACACATAAATTATTTTTTTTTTATTGATTATGTCCATTATTTACACATATCGGGAAGTTCATGTAACTTGACCCAAGGCAAAATACCAATACCAACTAGTTATTATACGTAACCACTGTCTATCTATCTAAGCAACAATACTTTAGAATATTTAATTATTTATTCTATATTCAAAAAAATATTTTTAAGTTAAAATTAATTACTATTTTGCTATTTCATATTGATTATACTGATGTATTTAAGCATTGCATGTACGTATTGCAATGGGAAGATATAGTTATATAAATAGATAGAAAAATTACATGGAAATTTATCTGAGTCATTTTTAAGTTTTTCAAAACATTCGAAATATTCTAATAATTTCAAGCATTCTGAAATTTCCAAATTTACAAAGGAAGAATACGTAAAAGAAATATGTATTAATATTAAAGAAAATGCAGATATAGATATTTAACCAATGTTAAAATTCAACAAATGGTGTGAATGCACCACAAATCAATGATTCCCTTTCCTTCCTTTTGTTTATAATTCTCGTTGTCATTAATCGCTACATTTTTTAACATTTTGTTTTCTAAACTTCGGCTTCCAAGATTTCTGGTCCTGTGCTTCGGCTTTCAGTTACCTGTATTTTTTTTCTCGCGTAAGTCATCAACCATCTACATTTTTCTTCTTCAAAATCCTTTTAGTTCTTCTATTTTACCTTCGACTGCATCGTGTAGAAAACACTCTTTTTGCAGAATGGGTCTGAACCAGTTTGTTTCAGTAGAGTCCTTTCTTCGCTCACTTTTCTCAGGACTTCTTCAGAATTTGTTATCTTATCTGTCCACTTTATCTTCTCCACTCATTTCAAGTACTACATTTCAAAACTCTCCAGATAGTTTTTTTTCAGTTTTTCTTAGAGTCCTTGGTTTTGATCCGTACAGAACTATACCTTAGACATAGCAATTTATTAGTCTCTTCCACAAATCGACAATCAGTTTGATATTTAATCAGTACGATTAGTTAATAAAAGTTCATAAATACGTATAAGGTTATAATAGTAAGAAAAATATACCGACAATGATATCTTAAATTTTCAATTATGTCAACTTTAGATTCTCTATTTTTTTATACCATCAATTTAGTAAACTATAACATATCTTATTTCTTCATTTTAAAACGTTACACTAGTTTATCTAATAAATGATAATATATATTAATAACTTTATCTACTATAGTAGGTACCTGCATTAGTGGCGTAACTATGCCATCTGGAGCCCTTTCAGTACAAATCGTTTTCAGTGTAATTTTCATAATAAATCATAATAGTAATAATAGTAATACACAGAGATTATTCTATTTCGTCTTTGAAAACGGAAAAAATGCGGCAATTTGAATCCATTTCATTCTTCGGAAAGGAAATGCCATTTCTGTTAGTATAACAATTATGTCTAATTCTCTATAAATTATGTTTTTGTTTGTTTGAAAAAACCTTCCAGATTGGAGACGTTCATCTTTGCAAATCTCGTGAAAATGATAAAACAGGGCCTGTATTACGGATTAATATTTTAGAAACCCTTTAAAAATGATATATACATATATATATATATATATTTATATATATATATAATATATATATATATATATATATATATATATATATATATATTTACAACATGAATTTTGATGCTAAGATTATTTTTTGAGAGCTATGCCAGTATTTCCGGAATGGGATAATTTCCGTATGGTTCCTATATGTTTCTGTATGTATAATTATGTATATTCATTTATATATAGGTGCATGTATCTATATAGATCAAATTAATAAAAATTCACGGAATTCTGCAGAACAAATATTTGTATTAACTGCATTTAGTGCATTCCTTTCTTAAGTAAAAATATTTGTGAAACCGCAGACAATAAACAAATCATAAACGATCCAAAAAAGACACAGCTATTCGTAATATAATAATAAAGCGAATATTCTACACAAAACGTTGTAAATATATTTTTATGCATTTTTTCTTACTTTTACTATTATTATTCAAATCAATAATATTATACACAGGTAAATTTGCTTTGCTAAGGGATATCAAACCTAATCAGGTTAATAAATCTATATTCTTGTTAATTAAAAAATATGTCTTATTAAAAGTATTTAAGCAAATATTCAAGTACATAATTCTGAAGCGCATTTAAAACTGTATTTTTATCTGAAGATATTACCTTTTTGCACACTTTATGATACTCATATTATATTACATAGCAATTAATAACTAATGGGGTGCATGGCTTCGTGTCTTAAGGCAAATTGCTGGAACTTCCCGTACCGTAATTAAAATTCTTGGTATGGGACCCAATAAAATTTACACAAAATGTGTACACATTATGAAAATCTATAAAATATCTGATGATTTGATGTGCATATGTCTAATGATCATTTTTGACCGGCAAAAGGCATTTTTTTAACTTATTTTTATTGATAGTCTATAACCACTGGACCTGCCTTCCCAAAAATTTAATCAGTTGTTCATCTTGTCAATACAAGTAAAATGTTTTTTGAATTATTAAAATCTCTTAAAAACTGGGTTACCGTTTTTGGCACTTTTTGCCCCGTATCTTCGGAACGGCTAGACCTGCCTTCGACAAAAACTAATCAACACGTCTCTTTATCAATACGAATCGAATGTTTTTTGAATTATTCAAATCGGTTGATCCGTGTTCCCGAAGTCGTCGACAAAAATTTGTATCCGCACACAAACACACACATACATCCATTTTATCTAAGGTATGCCAAAATGTTCAAAAGGTTTTGAAACGTAAAGATATATAAAAATTTTCATTTTCGATTTTTTCGCGATTACTATAACTTGCCCTACGGGAAGTTAATAATAAACCCATATTTTATGTAAATAAACTCCTAAACAATTATTTCAAATATAACTACACTCTTCAAATATAATATTTTTCTTCCACTAATATGCTAGTAGTTAGTACAGAAAGTTTTATGTTAATGATATTTCTAAAGCTATAAGTGCGAATTGTTAATAATAGTACAATTAACGACACCAATAAGGGTGTAAACTTAGACAATTGAGGCACCAATATAGGTGGTGTTTAGCAAATATTTGCTAAATGATTTTAATATTTCAAAATGTGCGATTGTCGCCGATAAAATTTATTTCTATATAAATTAATTGAAAGACTATGTGACTATGTATGAAGTCAA